AAAAAAAAAAAAAAAGAAAAAAGAAAAGGGCTGAAAGGGTTCGTTAGTAGTTATTTAACACTAGAACAAAGTGTGTTTGAACTTGGCCCCTGGCTTCTTTCCCAGCTCTGAAGGCAGTCGAGGGACAGACTACATACTGCATCTTCAGGGAGAAAGTCAGGTGTGTCTGCTTCAGAGAGGACTGCAGTCAGGGTACCCAGTATGGAAAACTCCCCTCTACTTCCTGAACTTCTGAGGAGGGCCAGGCCTTTGCCTGGAGCCCGAGGCACCTGTCCTCCTGCAGTGCCTCACAGGTGAGGACATATGGGGGCAGGTGTCTGGGTCATTCGCTGTCGGGGGAGCATGTGCCCTGGAGGCCACCAGAGCTAGGTGAAGACACAGTTAGCCTCTAGTTCTCTGTAGCACAGGACCAAGGGTGACACTGTAAGCCCTAACACTGCCCGTTGGCTGTTAACAGTGAAGTGAGGTAGAAACGGGTCTTGGCCCCACAGACACACCCCATCACCCACCTTTCTCTGTAGAGCCTGCACCCGAGAAAGACAGAATGCAAGCATGTCCAAGAGAGACGAATAAAGGGAGGTCTGTTGTCATGTGCTTTTAAAAAATATTCAAATTTAATAATTTATGCTTTACAATTAAGATACACATTTCTATTTTTCTTTAAAAGGAGTTAGTCCATGAGCTCCAAGTATGCCAACCCCGAGTTGACTCAGCACTGCCTGGGCCTCACCTGCCTGAAGCTTTGCCCAGTGCCCTCCGAAGCCCCAAGTAGCATTCTCCTGCCAGGCCCACCCCTGTACTCTGCTTGGTGACTTGTGGTTTCAGCCCTGGGGTCTGGGCCATTGTGTGAGGCCCTGGTGGGCCATCCTCCTGCCTGAGTGAAGAGGGGCAGGGGTGGTCCTTACAGACATGGGGGCAGCTTTCCACTGACCCTGAATTTCTCCTCTGGCTTCCTGCTCTCCTCTCCACCCTGCTGTATGACCCCACAGCACCCCAAACCCGCCCCCCTGGAGTAAATGGTCCCATGTGGAGCACAGCTGTATACTCCTGATCCAGCCCCGCTCTCAAAATCGGGTCCTTTCTTCAGTACGGTGAATACCATGGTGAGACTCTTCCACGTCCCCTATGCAAAGAGAGAACGGGAGGTGAGTGCCCACCCAGGGCTGCTCCCTTCCCACCTGCACTCACCTGTTGCGCCCTCGTGGTTTGAAGTGGGCCTTGCCCTGGAGACTGCTGTGGGGGAAGGGTGCCCCCCTGGCGCCTGGGCGTCCCCGCAGGCCCCCTCGGTCCGTGGAGCTGATCCCTGGTATGTTGGTCCTTTTGGGCAGCACCTGGAACCAAAGGCCAAGTGGCCCAAGACTCCTGCTCTCCTCCCCTCCTCCCTAGTGCAGCCTAAATTCTCTCGCTGGGGCAGAGCCCAAGGTTAAAGCTCCCTCCAGGAAGGCTTCCTGGGTTTCTTTGACGGAGGCTCACAGTCAGACGTGCTCAGTCTCCAGCGCCCACCAAGCTCTCGATGCCCCAGGGCACCAGGCCTCCCAAGGCATCAGACCTTGTGCTGGACCTTCTCAAGACCCCCACTTAGGCCTAAACTGTCCCGCCACATCTGTGGTCATGTGATACGCTCCTGCTGCGCCAACATCTCCCCCTGCAGGGGGTGGGGTCCAGCTTGGGAGGGGAGCCTCCCCAGAGCCATAGCCAGGCAAAACCCTTTGGGGTCTGAGGTGTTTTCACCCAGCCCCTGCTGCCCAGCAAGTGTGCCCAAAGACCCTGGGAGATTGGAGAAGGGTCAGGCTGGGCAACTCCCTATGTCTCAGCCTCCCTGTGCCTGCATTTCCTGGCATCTCGGGGATTAATGGGTTAATGTAGAGAAGCTCAGAGCAGAGCCCACACCCCGCAGTGCCCCCACCTTGAGGTGCCCTGGTGACTCGTGGGGGACATGCACCTTGATGACCCGGCCTCGGAAGATGCTCTTGTCTAGCTCCACAGCAGCCTGGGCTGAGCTCTCAGTGGCAAACTCTATGTAGGCATAGCTGGGGTAGGACAGGGGCTGGTGAGGGCCCACTCCAGGTCGCCCATGTTGGGCAGCACTCTGGGGCACCTGGTCCCCTCCCCAGGACCCCTCGTCTCAGCCCTGCACTGACCCTTTGGGGTGTCCGGAGAACTTGTCGCACAGGATGGTGACACGCTGGACCTCCCCACAATGGTTGAAGTAAGCCTCCAGCTCCTCAGCTGTGCCCCCGTAGTCCACCTGACACAGGCATGGCCCTGGTGTTGGGGGGCTCCTGCAGAGGCCTCAACTTCCCAGGGCCTCTTGCAGCATGTTTTCTTGGTAGAGAGAGGTTGACTAGACCCCATCATGTGGGTGATAGCCGGGTCCTCTGATCCCACCCCTGATGGGGGTGGACTGGAGACCGAGATGAACACCCCCACGTGTTAGGTGATCCCCCATGTGTATTTGGCCTGTGCAAAGAATATGTGGCTTTTTAAAGTGGAATTCATTGCCAGTGATTGACCAACTGGGAGATTTCATGTGTTAATCCTGGCTTCTAGCTCACGTTGGGAAATCAGAACATTTGATGACACGGGCCTGAGATCCCTCCTCACCTCTTCTCCCCTCTGGCCTGTGTGGCTTTGAGTTTGTCCCCCATACATGTCCCTTCCTTTAATCCTCACAGCCAGGAGGAGGCAGCAGACCCGGGGTGCCCCCTGAAGGGACCCCATCTTGCTCCCCTCCTGCACTCACGTTGCCCACATAGATGGATCTGTGGTCCATTTCCACCTTCTCCATGGGCGTCGCAGGGCAGGGGCAGTCTGCAGGGAGAGCAGCCTCAGTGAGTAGGGGCTCGCCTTGGGCTAGGGGCTCCCAGCAGCTGCTAAGGGCAGGCACCTCACATTTGTGGCTCATTCTGCACTCCGGGGGGAAGAGGTCACCCCTTGGGCCTGTTCTAGAAGAACGTATAGCCGCCTGCCAGGCCAGTGCTCGCTAGGAGCCAGCCCTTCCCCAGCAGCAGCTGGTAGCCAAGCCCGATTTACAGAGGAAGAAACGGGCTGAGAGCCGCGTGTCCGAGGACTGGGGGGGTCCACCAACCCGGGGAAGGGATCCTGCTGGCTCCTACCTGTGTTTGGACTCAGCAGCTGCTGGGCCACTATGGCCCCAGGGCTCTCCTCTTTTCCTGCCTGGCCCTGCGTCCTGGGTGGCTCTGGCTCCTGGACCTGCTCCATGACCCATAGCTTCAGTTTGATGGCCTCCAGCTCCTGTCAGCACACAGCCCCAGGCTGAGCCCCAAGGAAGGACATCCCTAGGCTCCCCTTGAGGGAGGGCAGAGGGGGGCTGGCCTGACCCCAGCTGTCCTCAGGGTTAGTGGCCTCTCGGGGACATGATGGGGGCTTCTCCAAGGGGAACAGGAAGGCCATGTGACCTTGGGTTGCAGGGAAGTCCCTGTAAAACTTCCCCAACACAAGGGCCCCTCCAGCCAGAAAGGCTGCCCTGCTCCCTCCCGCCTGTGCAGGGGTGGGCGTCCATCCTCTTCCAGGCAGGGGACAGTGGTTCTCTCACCTCCAAGGTCAAAGTGCAGTAATTTGTTTCCTGTCCCTACCCTCCACCCCCATGCACAGGGTCCCAGAAGTCCCTGGCCAGCCTCTGCCCAATGCTCCCAGCCATGAGGCTGTTACCTGGTCAGGTACCGGGTGCTCGGCCAGGGCCTCACTCTCTAGTAGAGACAGAGGGAAGCCTGCATCTTCCTCATCGTCCTCCTTGTCCTCTGCTTCCCTGGTCTCCTCCTCCTCCTTCCTGTCCCCACACCCTGGCCCCCGAAGGGTCTTCTCGGTCCAGCTGCAGGCCCCCCAGCCCTGGGCCTCGGGGTCTGAGGAAGCCCTCTGGAGCCAGGCCTCGGTGGGGGGTGGGAAGAGAGCAGGACTGAGGAAAGGCCACATGGTAGACGAGGGGGTAGGCAGAAGAGACCACCAGCACGCACCTCCGCACCAGCACCTACTGTGCCCTCTCGCGCTTTTAAGCCCTCCCCCAGGTCAGCTGCTCCCACTAAGTGCTTAAAAGGCTTCCAGCTGCAGCCAAGCTTCCAGCCCTGGCTTTCGGGCCCTGAGGGTCAAAGGCGGTTTCCCGCTGGCCCAGTCCCCTTCTCCCTCACGGGGTAGGCGCCTCCAGGACACTCAAGGTGGGAAGGGAGGCCTGAGCTAGGGGAGGTGACAACCCGGGAAGCTTGCTGGGGTCACCATTCCACACACCTTGCTTAGTGTTACGCCTTGCGCAGTGGTAGGCAACTCTTAGGATGACATGGGCACAAGCAAATTATCCGAGCGTGCAGAAGCCAAGAAGGATGGCATATGGGTTCAGAGCAGGCTTCCTGGAGGAAGTGGCATTTGAGCCGGCCTTGAGGGACTGGGTCAGGCAGAGCTGTGGCCAAGGACAGTCTGGGCAGAGGGAACAGCTTGAGCAAAGGTCTGGAAGGAATGAGGACAGGATGGGTCCATGGGGATCAGAGGTCGAACCCCCAATGGACTCACCATGAGCCCTCCCCTCCCCCAGCCCCATTTTGGACCAGCTCTTAGGTGAGAGCCACTTAAATGAAGCCAGTATCCTGCCCTGGCCACAGGGCAAAATGGTTGAATTACACGAAGATCAGGCGGTGCGTACTAGGGGCCTGCAGGCAATTTGTAAAGCCTGCTCCTGTTGCCTCCACTGCTCTTCACTTGCTGCCCATGGAGGGCAGCTGGAAGCCTGTGTGCCCTGGTCTCCTCCATCTGTCTTTGCCCGGCTCAGTCTTGGTGGAGCTCCTGTTGTGCCTTTTCTGTCCTCCTGACATATTTACGGGGGACCCCTCTAGCGTGCTTGCCTACCCCAGCCCAGAGCCCACCCCTAGGCCACAGCTGGTAGGTCAAAGTTGTGCCAATTGGGGTCTCTTCCCTGGAGACTTGAAACTGCGGGGGGGGGGGGGGAATTGCAGGCCATAGTAGAGCTGGACTATGAGCCCAGAGTCAGGACTGCATTCCTCCCCTGGGGCTGTGGGTGTTGCGGAACGAGGCACTTGTCCTGGAAGTGGGGACACGTTTCTGCTACTCCAGCTGGGAAACTGAGGTCCCCTGCCTCTTTGCCTGACTCCTCCTTCCCTTACTCCACCCAGTTCTGTTATCACCTCCATGGAGGCTGAGCTGTACGCTGCATGAGCTGAGCCCTTGGCCCCTAAGGGATGGAGGTCTCCAGGCAGAGTCTCATGGCCCCCAGTCAGCTGTGCTCCTGTATGTGCCGCCCTCCCAGCTCAACTGCAGGCCCTCCGTCCCACACTTACATGTGCAGGGCTCCAGAGGGCACTATTGCCCCTGTGCCACTGCTTCCAGGGAAACTCCCTGATTGTTCCTCCTCCTTCTTGTGGCTACTGCGCCTTGGCCTCGCCCTCCGTCTGTCCCGTGTAAATTATACATCCCAGGTCTCCCCCTGGCAGGCCAGAGAGCCTTAAGGGCAGCGTCCATGTCTGCCCTGAAGACAAGGCCTCGGCTCAAGGCTGGCTGGACAAGGATGGACGTGCAGCCACTGCCTGTCTTTCTCCCCTAACCCAAGGCAGTTGGTACCTTCTCGACTGTGGGTCTGAGGCCCCATGGAGGGTCTCTGGCCCTGGCCCTTCCCTCTACTTCCATGTGGGAGGCAGGGCACTAAGTCGAGAGCCGCTGGACTCAGGCCCGGCCTCCGGCAGCCTCCCTCTGAGCTCAGACCTCTGCAATGGAAAAACGTTGTCATCCCACTCTATGCCGAGATTGCTGACACACCAGGCCCAGCTGGGGCTCCCGCCAGCTGCCTGGCATGGGGACAGCCTCGCCCCCACACTGGCCTTTCCAATGACGCCTTTCAAAATACACCATGTTCCAAGCCTGGGCCCGAGTATTAATAACACCCCTCCCCCCAGGGGCCACCAGCGAACCAGGAGCTCTGAGTCCTGGGCACCCGACTCTGGAAGGGACCCGCCCTGGGAGCAGGGATACCATGGCTAATACCCTGGCTGCTTCGGGGGAAGGTGTCCTTTCCCTTGGTGTCCACCCTCAGGTCCTGTGTCCACCCTCAGGGTGTTGTGGGAGGTACCCAGCACTGCCAGAGGCAATGGGGCTCAGAGCCTCTGGGTGCTGTCTGGGGTCCCAGGTTGTCCCGATCACCTCGAGGACACAACCTTTGCAAGTTTTCCCCACGTGGCAAGAACACAATAGGCTGTGGGTCGATTGATCAGGAGGTCATTTGCTCACATCCCGTTCCCACTCTAACCTATGTCACATGGTTGTTCATCCCCCCTAGGGCAGGGCCTTTTCTTTCTTGCCTGAAATGGAGAAAGCCCCCAATATTTGGTGAATAAATGTGTGAAATGGGGGCTTAGCTGGAGTTGCCTGGAACCCAAGGAGAGGCAGAGCCGTGATGGCAAACGTTGGCTTTATTACACGACACAGAGGTAACTGATGTGACCTGAACTGTAACGTCTTACAGCGTTTAGATCAAACAGGGTACATCAGAGGACACACGACGGGGACAGCATGCCATGGATCCTACACAGCTTTGAGGAAAACCCGTTACAGGAAAACGACCCAACACTCAAGGTCCAACTCCTTTAGGGGAATTTAAAGGGGAAAAAAAAAAAAAAGAAAAGAAAAAGGAAGTGGAAAATCAATGCGTTCCCCACGAGGTTGTGTGAGGCTGTGTCCTGGCCCTGTTCCCACGGCCCGACCCCCTCGGCCTGAGGAGGACGCAGTGGGTGAGCCGACGGCCCGGCATGACTGGGCCCCTTGTCCGGACTTTGGCGCCCGATGCCTTCATTCTAACATTTAAAAACTAGGATCCAGTTTGAGTCCCAACATTGCATTACTGCTACAAGGGGTCTTTGGGGTGGCACTCTAGGGGCCAGATGAATTGAAACAAAAGAAACAGAAGCATGCAAGGTAGAGTTCTCTGGAACTTTGAAGGATCAGTACAGGTTGCTGTTGCAGACACCCAGCTCCCCCAAGCCTTCTCCGTGAGGTGTCCAGGGAGACCATGGATCCCCAAGGTCCAGCTCATATACCGCCTCTGCTTTCCTTCTCTTTCTCCTCTCCTGCCAGCAGGGCTGTAATCGGGGGCCTTGATCCCAGCTGCGTTTTTGGAAAATGCTCTGTGTGGCACGAGAACCTGCAGGCCCGGGGAAACGGGCCGCTGGGGCTGGGGAGAGCCTCTAGAGTCCCAGGAATACCCACCACCATCAGCCCAATTCAGCCTGGGAATGGCCTGTTCCTGCATCATTCAGAGCTCTGAAGGGCTAATTTCCAGTTGTCCAGAACCCCAGGATGGAATACGGGAATGGGAGTGAGGCAGCATGACCGTGAGCATCCCGGGAGAAGAGGGAGGCCGACATTGGCTTCTTTCTTCCCCTCCTTCCCTGGGGACACTTCTTCTCGGCAGTGATCCCTGGAAACAAGGAGAGGAGAAGGCAGCCCTGCCCCACAATATCGGGGTTTTGCCAGGGAATACGCTCACCCTGACTGGTGGCTCTTGTCACAGGGCCCTGAGTAGGTATGTGGGCTGCCTCCCAACACTGACCAGGTGGTCCCAGATTGGCCGGAGCTGTTGCTACGACATTGGTCCAATATATCCATCATGCCTGCAGCAGAACCTTATCTGTCCCTAGAGCAGGCCTGGGCCAATGGCTGGGGCACTGGGAGAGGGGTGGCTGAGCCCACAGGTAGAATCATTTAGGGCAGCCAAGGTCATGGGGGGGTTGGTGGTGCTACTCTGTGTTCAATGGGTGGAGAGATGAAGAGGTGGATGGATTGAGGCATGGTTGTGTGGGTTAGATTGGAGGATGGATTGATAGACACATGTATGGTGTGTACCGGGGTGGATGGTGGAGAGACAGGTGGATGGGTAAAAGGATGAATGGGGGAGTGTGGGATCAAGTGAGAGTTGGGGTAGAGTAATGGATGGATGGATGGGTGGATGGGTGAGTCAGTGGATGAATGAGCGGGTGAGTGAATGGATAGGCAGACAGATGACTGGATTGGTCAGAAGGATGAACTGATGAAAGAAAAAAATCAATAAATTGATATAGGTGGGTTGAGGGGATGGGCAGAATGACGGCTGGACATGCTAACTGGAGTGGGCTGGGGCAGGCAAGATGGGTGTATGAGAGACGAGGCTTTGGTGTCATTTTGAGGACATATTTGGAAAAATTGGCAAATGGGAAGCAAGTTAGGGCCTGAGCCAATCCCTCTTCATGTCATTGGGATGAAACCATAAACAACACCCCCCTGCCGCTCTCCCATCTATCTCCCTCTGCCACTGAACCTCCTGGGGCCCTGATGAACGACCCCACCCGCCAAGTCCATAGGCCGGCCCCTTCCTGGGAGGTGGGCTCCTCTTATCCTACAGCCCTTACCCTGCTGGACCCCAGAGGCTTTCTCTAGCTCTCCTCTTTGCACATGGTAACACCCACGGCTTCTCTGTGTTCTGGTGAGCCACGGGGATGGGGACTTTCTCTATTCAGATGGAGTCTGGGGTGTTTCAGCCTGTTCACACACGGAATGGGAGGCACTGGTCTTTGCCAGCAGAATACCCCCTAGACACCACCTGGGGATGGTGGCACATGCTAAGAGAGAGGCCAGCCAGGGTCCAGGGCAGGCTGGGAAACAAGGAGACGAGAGGAGGGAGTGGGAAAGGTCGAGAGTCACATACCAGGGGGCTTTCCACCCGGGAGCAAAAGAAAGGGGCCTGGGTGCCAGCACTTATCCTGCTGTCCCCGCCTGTGTGGGCTTTGGGCTCTGGCTGCTGCCTTCCTGTCATCGTTTTGGCCTCAGAACAGGAGAGGTAAAGCTGCTGTTTTGGTTTGATTTGGGGGGAGGGAGGCTCTGTGAGCAGCCACATCTCACAGAGCTTTTGGGTCACCTGCACGTTCGATTTGGGCTGTGGCCTGTGCAGAGGAGACCCTCGCACGCGTACTGGTGGTCAATGGTGTGTAAGCTCAGGAGGTACCAGGGCAGGATTGCCTCTGAGCAGACAGTAGGAGGCTAGATCCCCTCTTTGCACAAGAAAGGCAGGTGCCCCAGGTCCAGATACAGGTGCTACAGCGACACACTCATGTTTAGCACCACCAGTCCAGCTGCCAAAGCAAAAGCTCTGCCCCGCACCCCCCACCAAAAGCTATTGATTCTGTTTGGTTCTGCTGTGAGGTCATTAGCCAAGTGGGGCCTAAGCACAGTGACTGACAGAAATACCAGCTCCCCAAGCATGGAAGGGAGCTCCAGCACCTTCCTCGGGTCTCCCTGGGCCGGAGGAGCTGCCCGCTGTGGCTGATGCAGCCCTCGCCAGGACATCCCCTCCCACCCACGCCGGGCCTGGCTTCCTCATTGCAACCTCCCAGCCCTCCTTGCTGCCATCTCTTCACCCTGAGAATGCTCTCGGCCAGCAGAGGCTCTGTCCATGGGCCTGTGGCTAGCTCCTCATGCCAAGTTTCTGCAGCTCCCACCAGTGGTGGCTTCTTGGTATATGAGATCTGGGTATGGGAACCACGCCGGGAAGACTTTTATAGTTGGCTTGAGGGCGCCATCTTCTCAACAGCCGGGGTGGGAAGGGCCACCCCACCTCAGACCCTCAGCCTGTAGTTCTTTCCTGGAGGTCGGTCTAGCCTGGATGCTGCCAGCTGGCAAACATGCTAGTGTCCCTGGCGTACCTGCTTGTCCCCAAAGGGGCACCATGACAGGGGAAGCCGGCAAGGCAAATCAGTGGGTCTTCAGGTAAGGGGCTCCTCCACGACTCACTTCAGACCATTGGCCTCAGCCCCAAGTCCTGACAGCAGGGACGTGAGTGATCAGAGACCTTAGTCCTCCTCCCCCAGACCCTCAGCAAACCCAGGGCAGATGCTCTCCAGACAGACACCCCCGTTCACCAGCACAACCGTGTGGGAACAGAGTCCAAAGGGGAGGCAGGCCCATTTCACTGCACATCCAAAACTGCCGTTTTAATAGGTTCAATGCTTTCAAGAGAGGAAGACAGCAGGCTGGAAACACGACAGGCAGGCGTCCGCTGTCTCGAGAGCCCAAATCCCAAACTGGTCCTTGCTTTTCTGAAACCCACAAAAGTAAACCTGTGAGAGGCGGATGGACCCACAGCACCGGGCAACGGAGATGGTGGCTGGAACGGGAAATTTTCTGGAGGATAAAATAGATCTATCTCGACTTTCAGAATTAGGTTTCCACTGTCAGGCGTGGTTCGGGATGGCACCTGGTCTGTGTCAACCACATGGAATCCTTCCTTTCAATATGCAAAGAATGAATTCTTACAACTCTGAAAAAATGACAGCAAACAAACCCATTGCTCCCCGTAGGACCACAGTTCAGATTTCTTTGAAAATCGATTTCCTAAACTTTACATACTTCCGCAGTTTCTCTTAATTTTTTTTTATTTGGCAAACATTTCTTCTTTATTATCATCATGAATATCATTATTTGGACCTCTGCAAGGACTATATACATTCACATTAACGTACACTATTGACTTCTTGCCTCTCGGCGGGGTGCCCCGGGAACCCCGGTTTCAGTAGCTGGTCACTCCCCATATTGCACTCCAGTCCTGGGAACTTCTTACAGCGATGCAAGAAAATGCCAGATCATGGACCATGTCTGCTGTTTGTTCTTCCGTTGAGTACAGGTGAGAATTTCCTTACTCCTTTTTTTCCTCCTTGAGATCGCTGGGGGGAGTTGAGTGGGGTCAGGGGGAAGGGGGAAATAGAGCAAGAATGGGGGGACAACCCCCTGAGGATCAGCTAGACAGAAACGCAGGGTTATACACAGCTGACCAAGTCTCCAAAAGGTGTGGAGAGGGCGGACTGTTCCTGTTTGTAGTTTTTTTTTTCTTCTTTTTCTGCAAAAGTGTGAAGAAAGGAGAGTAGGTGCAGAGGACACTGGGGGTGGGTGGTGATGGGGCAAAGACGAGTTGGGTAGGGGGGCATTGAGGAGGAGGAGAAGAGGTAGAGGAGGAAAATCGGAGAAGCAGTCGTTAAAGGCGCAGTTGCTGTCTCCTTGTGCTTTGAAAAGCACTCAAGAATCAACCCGAAAGATTGTCACAGTTTTGTTTCGGAATTATGCTCTCTCTGGGAAGGACACGTTAGCACTTTTTTTCACAAGTGGAAGAAATGAAATGTGATGAAAATTCACAGAGGGCGTGAGGACAGACGGAGTTATCTTCTGCACACGCTTCACACACGGCTGGGCATGCCCCGTGCGCACACGCAGACACTCTCACGCACACGGCAGGCGGGGTGCTGAGGGCTGCAGGGCCCACCGCTTTGTGCCCAGTGAGGGCGCTGCCATCTCGTCGAAAAGAAACAAAATGTCGCTTTTTGTTGGGCAAAACCCTTCAAACCCCAATATCCCAAACTCCAAAAACAGATTCTAAAGGAAAGACCGACATCTGAACAAACCCAAGAGTGAAGTAAAACAGTGAAAAAAATACTTTGGCAGTGACAAACAAATTTTGGATTTTGACTTTTCGTGTTTGCTTTTTGGGTTTCCTTTGGAACAGAGGTGTGTGCGGCGTCCTTGGCTGGCTAGCTGGCAAGGTAGTTTACAGGTATGTTTCCTTTACTTTTTTTAAAAAACTTTTTGGATTTCTACTTAAAGCCAAAGAGTTTGACATAAAAGGAAAAAAAAAATCTGAAACCAAAAAATGCTTCTTGGGTCAGAAACTGGAGTCTTTCTTACCGTCTTTACCCAATTGGCCACATACCCTTGGGGTGGTTTCTGTGACACAGCAGCTCAGATCTCCGGTTATAAAATAACAGTTTTCCTTTTCCCTTTTTAATGAGGAAGGGGAAAAAAAACCCCATAGTTTTCTTTGTCCATTTCTGAGTAGCTCTTTTTGCCATAAAACCCCCCAAAATTCTTCACTGAAAATATAAGCCACCAAACAATTAGTTTTTTCCATTAAAGAGAAAGTGTGTAAAAGTCATAAAGACAGAAGAAAGAGGGAAAGGAAGAGGGAGGGGGAGAGAGAGAGAAAGAGGGACAGAGAGAGCGAGAGAGCAAGAAATAGAGAGAGAGAGAGAGAGAGAGAGAGAGAGAGAGAGAGAGANAGAGAGAGAGAGAGAGAGAGAGAGAGAGAGAGAGAGAGAGAAAGGGCAGTGGACGAGCCGGTGGTGCTCAGGCCAGCGGCCAGCGTCCTCTCCGTTGTCTAAAGCTCGGTGGGAGGTTCTGAGGATGCTTGAAGAGGTTGTTGCGTGAGATCTTCAGGTAGCTGAGGAAGTTGCGTTGAATGCAGTTTTTGTTGGTTTTGTGTTTTCTTTTGGAGAGAAGCAGTAGCAGCAGTGACTCCAATGGTTGGGCTCCCAGGGCCGGGCGCAGTGTCCGGTGGCTGGGGCCGAGCGGGGTCGGTGGGTGCGTGTCCGTGGGCTGAGCAGCGGGTCTGGGAGGGGTCAGCGGGGTGCGGCATCCAGTGGGCCAGGAGAGCCGGGGCGAGAAGGCCCTGTGGAGCCAGCTTCACTGGGGCTGGCAGCGCCCGTGGGCAGGCAGGGGCCCAGGCTGGCAGTGGCATCGGGCTGTCCAGGCACCGGGTCAGCCACCACAGCCGTGGGGCCCTGCAGACTCTGGCCGCACACGTGGTGGTGCTTCTCCCAGTCCTTGTGCTGGCAGAAGGAGCCGCAGTAGCGTGCTGCATTGCAGCCGCTGCATGTCTCGCTGGCCTTGCGCCCACAGTTCCAGCAGCTCTGGATTGGGGGGAGGGGGGAGGAGATGGTCGGGGTGGTTCAGGGCTGGGCCACCCCAAATCCCCAAAGTACTCAGCCCATCTGTAGAATGGGAAGAGTATACTCTAAATAAACTGGCTCAGACCCAGCCAGGGCGTCAAGTAAGGAAAAAAGACCCCAAAGTGTTACAGCCTGTTGGGGACCCTCAGTGGACACAGCCCGTTGGCTGGGCTATTTTGGGACGATGGGCTCCCACTACTGCATTGCACAACTCTAGCCCACCCCAGATAGGTTCATGCTGGGCTTACAGGACCACGGGGTCCTCGGGAGGGCAAGGAGCCACAGCCCCTTCCCTCTCTGCCAGGAAGCCCTCCTGCCTCACCAGGGCTACAATACAGAATGCGGGGGCCCCCAACAGAATAAAGACTGCCACGCTCTGACATGGGGTGCATGGCAGGCCTTCCCCTACCGTGGGCATCTGCTCTCTTTCCATGGAACAAGCCTAACCCAGCTGGCCATGTGAGCAGAAATTTGGCAGGGACACTGGTAAAGGTCCCAGGCTGTGGGACAGGGAAGCCCAAACCTGCCCCGGAGAAGGGCCCAGGTACCCATTTAGCGTCCAAGGCCTCTAAGACCCCAACATTCCTGCTGTCCCCAGCTCACTCGGCTGGGCCACACTAGCCTGCTCAGTCCTCACTCTGCCAGGCGTGCCCTGCCCCCGCCCAGCCTTTGTCCCTGCTGTCCCTCCTGGGATGGCACTGCTCCCCTGATTCCTGCATGCTGGCTCACTTCCTCCAGAACTGCTCAGACATCACTGCTAGCACGTCCTGCCTAACACCCCCACCCTCCTTCCTACCCACGTCCACAGCCTGAAATGCCCCAGGCTTCATCTCCAAGCACCAGCATGAAAATCATCTCACATTCTTCCCGCTTGTGTACATGTACCAGGAGCTGAGGAGGCGCTTTAAATGTCACCTGAGGTCTGCACATCCTCCTCCTGTCTCTTGCTATCACAGGTTAGAGACAGCATGAGCTTTGGTGTCTGCCAGACTGGGTGTGAATAATGGCCCCACCACCTCCTAGGGAGTGACTGGGGCAAGCCACCTTCCCTTTGGAGACCTCAGTTTCCACATCTGTACAATGGGGACAACCTCAGGACCTGCCTCACCAGTCTGTGTGGGGTCAAGAGAGTTCACAAGGCTGCCAAGGTCGCAGAGCTGGGAGGAGGCAGAGTGGCTCAGGACCTGGAGGTGGGCTCGGCGGGGGTGGGGGTGGGGTGCCTACCTCACTGGAGTCCTCCTGCTGGTTGATGACGGTGAGGGCATCCTCTGAGGCCTGCCGTCTGGCCTCAGCCAGGGCCCGCTCCATCTTGGCGCGCTCCGTGCTGATGAGCTCGTGGGCCTTCCGCTCGGCGTCCGACACGGCTTTCTGCAGCTCAGACATCGCCTGCCGCTTCACCTCATTCACCGCCTCCTCTGGAAAGGACACTCGGCTGTGGTCACATGGGCCAGCCTAGATGGGTCTCCCGGGCCTCCCTGTTCAGGGCTTGTGCACAAAACACCATGTGCATCCCCGCACTCGTGTGCAAACACCGTCATGGGGAAGATCTCCAAACGTACCCTCTCCTGCAGTGTTCTCAAACTCTGACATGCTGTGGGACCCTGAGAGGGTAGGGGCCGGGTCCACCTCCAGATTCTCATTCAGGAGGCCTGGAGAGGGCCTGAGAATCTGCATTCCTAACAAGTTCCAAGTGATGCTGCTGGTCTTGGCACCCACTTTGAGGACCACAGCTGTACTGCTATGCCCCAAGGACAGTCTGTCTTGCCCTGCGACCCATCCAGAATCAGTCCAGAATGCCTGGTTCAGGGCTCTGCATTGTTATTTCCCCCCAAATCCCTCTGTTATCTCCCCCACACTCACCACCTCAGCCCGCTCACGTCTGAGGATTCAAAGCACCATTCTTGCTGTGGCCAGAGCATCTGCTCAGATTACACCGTGCCCTTCGACACTAGAAATAACACGGCCCCTAGCCTCCACTAAACCACCCCCCAATGGCCTTTCAGACCTGCCTCAGTTTACCTGGCAGTGCCGTTCTTGCAGCATTGTGTGAGGGAGGCTGGGTGGGCTTAAACAGGGCTCCCATTTCCGAGGCCGAGACGGAACTCAAGCCTCCCATCCGAGTGTTTGCACACTGTGTGCTGGCAGTGCCAGCTGCAGACGCCTGTCCCCATGTCAACTGCCTGAGCTCCACACGGTTGTCACCAAAAATCCCATAAGGCCCTGCTACAGGCCAGACGGAGGCAAAGGGGACAGGCCAAGGGAAATAAGGATCCCCGTCCTGTCTAGGCCTGTCCCCTGCTTCGTTCTAAGCAGCTGCTGAATCTGTGGCCCCTCTGCCTCCATCTATGGGCTGGGACCCTCCATTCTCTCTGCTTTCAAGTTCCTGAGATTGCCGCTCTCTAACTCACCCTTCACACGGAATCCATCCGCAAATTCAAACCCATCAGGGGTCCCACCTCTTTTCTGCACCGCCATCACCCCTTTTGAGCTCCTGCCTGTCTCTCTCACTGCCCACTGGCTCTGGCTTCTGCCCAGCCCATCCCCAAAGTCTGTTCCCACGATGCACTGAATGTCTCCCACAGCACTCCCCTGTTGCCATGCTCAGCACTATGTCCAGAAGGCCACACAAACTCCAGCTCCAAGTGCCTCCCTCCTGTGTGTGCGTGTCTGTGCACATGCATGTGCCTGCTGGGCCCGAGAGACCCTGCTTGTTCTGGTGAGCATGGTGCTATTCCCCAGCAGGTGTTGGGTGGCAGTCGTCCTACCCTGGATACTACGTGCACTGTAACGCCTCTGGGAGCCCCATCTGTGAAGCCCTGTGAGCTCTGCCCTGAGCCGGGGGCCCAGCTGAGCACCCCAGCAGACAGAAGTTCCTTGCAGAGAAGGCGAGAGGGCCTGGGTCCCAGTCCCCCAGCTCCCTCTCCTCCACCCCCACTCACCAGCCTTCCTCCAGATCTCCTCGGGCATATAGCTGGAGAGGGTCCTAGGCATGAACTCTCGGTGCACGTCTGGAATACAGGGGCCAGTGTCACACACAGGATGGGGTCACATCCCGCTGGGCCACTCGACCATGGTGTGACAGTGTTCTCGGTGGGGGTCCCAAGGAAACCATGGGTGGGAGCCCTGCATCGGTTTCTGGGATGGGGGCAGGGCAGCATCAGGAAGAGGGAGGCTCAGGAGCTGAGGGACCGTCCACTCAGCTGGGGGCTGGGCCCAGGCGGAGCCTCTTTCGGTTTCCATGGTCATCATCCAGGGGATGAGTGGATACGACGAGGGCCTCCCAGCTCTGAGCCCCTGGCCCGCCAACCACAACTGTGAGTCTGGGCTTCCTGGTGGGTCAGGTGGTGTCTTTGGGCAGAGCAAAAAAGGCACCTCTTTTGCAGGTGAAACTGTTTTGGGTGGTGTTTTATTGCAGCGCCTCTGTAAGGGGCCTGCTCGCACGGGTACTGGCTCAGTCCTGTACTCTGGCTTCATGTGCCCCACAGGGCTCCCTGCACCAACCAACCCTGTGCTGCTGTCTCCGTTACTCCTACGGCCCCCTCCCCAGCCAGCACGCACCTAGTTGAGACCCCTCTGCACCCGCGGAGCTGCTGAGAGGCCGGGTGGGGGTGGGCGCGGGGCCCTTCTTGGTGTCCTCAGCGTCGCTGTAGCGCCGGACCCAGTGGTTGAGTTCCTCCCGGTCAGCCTCCTGGCACCGGCGCAGCACGGTGAGTGACCGCCGTGTCTTCTCAGCCATGTCCATGATACAGTTCAGGAGCTGCCGGTGAGTGGTCGGGTAGCCTGAGTATGGGGCTGGGGAGGCCCTTGTCCCACACTTCTGGGCCTTGGCCAGCCTGCTGTCCAAGAGGGCCGGCCCTGGAGGACTCAAGGCAGGGGTATGAAAACCCAGCTCCACTGCCTGGAAAGACCCCTGAACAGCTGGGGTGGGGCTGGAGATGGCCCACTGGTCTCTCTCCGGAATCCCCAGCATTGAGGGCACCAGGCTCAGGGAACGCTTGTTTGAATGCAGGGGGCTTAGGGCCTTCCTTTCAAACCTTGAGGTACGGTCTGCCCCACAGAGCAGACGCGGCCATCACCACCCTGAAGACCACACCTTCTGCCTGGGCTTCCTCCCAAAAAGGAAGCAAGGGAGAGGGTGATCCTAGAAATGGTGTTGAAGGGGTCCCCCCACCCCCATGCCCAGCGACCTTCCTGGGAGACTCTCTGCAGGGGCAGAGAAGGGAAGGCTCTAAGGGACTGACCAGAAGCGGAGGGCGGGCTGAGATGGTGCCTCCCCCAGGCCCTGCCCCCAGGCCCCTCAGGGTGAGCGCAGAGCAAAGGCAAGCCCACTTGAGCCCTGCCCCTGCGGCCCCACAGGTTGTGCAGAGCCCCTGGAGTCGCTGTGGGGCCCGTGACCCTGGCCTGGACACTCACGTTGTTCAGGTGCTTCCACTCCTCAGCCCATTCTCGCTCTGTCAGCCTGTGGTCGATCACTTCCTCCGGCCGAGACCCGTGGACCGCTGCAGGAAGGGAGCGGATGCTCATGGCCCACCCCACGCTCCCAGGCCCCACCCCACACTCCTCCAAACCCTGGCCCGCGTTCTCTAGGCCCCTCCATAGGCTGTGCCTACCTGGGTAAGACGGTGAGGGTGAAGAAGGGGACCCTGGGCACTGACCTTCTGCCCACTGCCCTAAGAGTGTCAGGCACAGGCCTGGCCTCTGCTCGAGGCTTGGGAGGAAGAGGTCCTCATTCCCATCCTTCGTTCTGGCTTTGGCCATCCTTCCCCCACCTCCTTGCCTCCAAATCCTGTTTCTCTTGCTCCTTCTGGCCCCTGCTGCCAACCAAGGCTGTCTCAGACCTCACCTCTGGGGCCTCACCACTGCTCAGAAGCCCTCAGGGCCTCCGTGCGACTGCCTAGCTCCAGCCCAAACGTTCCCACTTCCTCTCAGCCAGCTGGACTCCTGTGTATTTGTCGAAGCCCGGGTCACAGGCCCCCTCCTGCTCATCAGAACTGGGCCCTCAGAATTTCTTGAACCCTGTGTATCTCTAGTTGTTTAGTAATGGTAGGTGCTTCCTTGTTTACTCTTGGTCCCCATCCTCCAACAGGCTGTGTCAGTACACAGGCAGGGCTGGCGTGTCCCATTCTCCTCAGTGTCCGATGGACTAAGCTCTAGCCCGCCAAGTGCTCCAGCTTATCTGCCGGGTCTCAAGTGAGCCGGTTCAAGGGTGGTCTCCTGGGAGCTGGGGGCCGGGGAAACCAGCAGTCCTGACACTACCCCCCAGAGGACCTAGGACCCCCATCTCACCGCTCCAGGCCTCAGTTTCCCTACCCTGCCTACCTCTGGGGGTGTGAGAGGACTTTCAAGAAGGCATGTTGGTGGGGAGAGCCCGAGTATAAACAGGCTCTGTGCCAAGTGCTTTACCCCTTTCATCCCTGCGTTGATCTACAAGGGAGGCTCTGCCATCATTCCCATTTTATAGATGAGGGAACTGAGGCTGCTTAAAGGGAAATGTTTGCCCAAGGTCAGCCTGAGCAGAGCTGTGCCCTCCACTACCAGCTGGTACATGGGGGTGTCCTCCACCCAATCAGAAACAAAACCACAGTGAGCTGCAAAATAAGCACACGTGCAGCAGCGTCTATCCCCACCATGGCTCCTCCTGTGAGTTTTGACCCATGGAATGCTCTTACCCGTAACTGTTTTGGGTGCCCCTGCCTGTGCTGGGTGACCCGGTGCCCATCGATGCTTTTGGGTTGCAGCCTCTCTATGTAGGCCTTTTTCAGCCCCTGAAACCCAAAATGCCTCCCCAAATTGCAGAAGGGGTGGGAGGTGGTGGCCACAGTCCACTATCCACAATCCTGCCCTGCTGCCTGCAGCGCCAAGGCCTGCGCCAACGCCCCAACTAAAATAGTGGCTGAGATCTGCCCAACAGCTGGTGTCTATTTTTGCATTAGCAGAAGCGGGTGGGAATAGCACCTGCCTGACTCGGCCACAGGGAGCCAGACGTTGTCACCTGCTGCCTGGGCCCGGGCCCTGGAAGCTTCTGCAGGGTGGGGGCGAGGAGGCCTCCTTGTACGGAGCGAGGCCTCTGCTGACCCTGCCTCTCGGCCCCCCATTGGTGCTCTGGGCCTCTGTCTCAGGGGCAGCTGCTTCTAGGTACACTGTAGGAGGGGGTCCCCGGGGCAGGGGCTGATCCTGTTCATTTCTTTGCGGTCAGGCAGATGTGGCTAGAAGACTTTGGGCATGCCAACTATGCTCTCTGGGCCTCAGTCTCCTCGTCAGTGATATGAGCGTGCTAACATATCACACATATATCAGAACATATCAGGGCCCGCTACCTTCATTAAACGATACAATGCAAGCAAGAGGCATGTGCTGCATCCTAGACTAGACTTGTTGCCACTATTATTAATAACAGCCAGGTCTCACAGCACCCACTGTGTACTGGGTTAGCTCCCTCAGTCCTCACATGACCCTGAGGGTTGAGACTCCTGTTAGACCCAGCCGACAGGGGAGAAAACTGAGGAATGGAGGTCACGTGATCTGCCCAAGGGTGTACTGTGGGGAATGGTAGAAGCTAAAAGGACCAGGCAGTCCCAAGCCCTCGCTTGCCTCATGAGACCTCCACTCCTCCCTTCAGTGGCTGGGAGGCGCGATGCCCAGCGTGCCCAGGGCCTCCCTCATCTCCTTTCACTGCAGGGCTCACCCAGTGACCATGCTCTTACGGATTTGGTGTTTTGGTGTTCATTTTTGTACTGCTCTGGGAGCAGGATGGGCATGTGTGGTCAGCGGGGCTCAGTGAGAGCTCACAAGTCCTACAGGGTGTCCACTTTCCCTCAGGGTGCCCAGCCACACCTGCCGGAGTCCCTTGGAGGCAGCAGGGTCTGCAGCTCCTGTGACCTGGGTACCCCACATGCCAGAACTCACCCACCCACCCTGCCCATAATTGGGCTCTTCCTGGCTGGCCTGTGCACGATTTTTGTGACTTATGGGAAATAAACACTTGGTCATTCAGATGACCAACATATATTTCCCATAGATGGTCTTCATCCAGGGTTTCCTGGCTCATAGCTCCCCAAACCCTTGGAATTTCCTCAGCGAAGAGAGTGATAAAGGTGTCTTTTGTTAATGTTCATGAGGTGACTTTGGAACAGGATGGAGGCTAGTTGCCCAGAGAACCAACCATGTGGGTTGAGGGTTGGAACTTTCAGTCTCACCCCTGATCTCCAGGGTGGGGAGAGGGGCTGGAGGTTCACTCAATTACCAATGATAATGATTTAATCAACCACGCCTAGGTAATGAAGCCTTCATAAAATTGCAAAAGTATGGGGCTTGGAGAGCTTCTGGGTTGTTGAACGTGGAGATTCAGAGAGAGAGATGCAGTCAGAGAGGGCATGGAAACTTCACACCCTTTCCCCATATCTGGCCCTACGCATCTCTTCCATCTGGCTGTTGTTCCTGGGTTATAACCTTTTCTAATAAACAGGTAACCTAGTAAGTAAATGTTTCTCTGAGTTCTGGGAGCCATTCTAGCAAGTGAATTGGACCCCAGGTGGGGTTGTGGGGATCTCTGATTCAGAGTTGGTCAGTCAGAGGCACAGGGGACAACCTGGATGTGCGACTGGCATCTGAAGGAGGGTGGGCAGTCCTGTGGGACTGGGCCCTTAACCCGTAGGACCTGATGCTGTCTTCAGGTAGAGAGTGTCAGAATTGAATTCAATTGTAGGACACTATGCTGGTGTCCAAGAATTGCTTGGTGGTTTGCGGCAAGCACCTCACCATGTGGACACTGGGCCCAGGGCGTAATTTACTGGCCTTCCCCTGCCCCAGCCACAGAGCTCGGCGGCCTCCCTGTTCTTGTCTCTATAAGGAGATGAACACACTTGTGCAGGAGCTGTGGGCAACTGACGGGTGTGGTTCCCGGTCCCCCACACCCCATACCTGCCCATACCTGCCTCTGTCCAGCTGGGGGTCCCAGGACAGGCACATCCACAACCCTACCCCTGGGGAAGGAGGGGCCCTCCTGGGCTCTCAGGGTAGGCATGTCAAGCTGCCTGCCCCGCTAGATGGATGTCCAGGAAAGATGGCTCTTCCTTAACTGCTTCCCAGAGCAGCCCAGCCAGGGTGGGGCTCCCCTCTGGGCCCTGGGGCCAGCTCCCCACTCAAAATCCTTTCTCTACACCCGTTTCCTCTGTGTCCTTCCTGGACAGACACGCGTACACAGCAGCTCTCGGATGTCACCCCACCCCCCACCAGGCACGCTAGTGCCCCTGCTAGCATGCATGCACGTGCCACCCGCCACGCCCCTGCCCCCCCACACACTGCTCACTGAGTTGTCGGTGGCGCTCCCGCAGCTCCCGGGGGTCAGGGTGGCGGTAGGAGTCGCGGGAATGGTGGGCCAAGGCCATGTCCTCGAGGCGGTAGTGCGGAGGTGGTGTGGGGTGGGGCAACCCATTGCTGGGGCTGTAGCGTTGGGCGGGGCTCAGGGTGCATGGTCGTTTGCTGAGGGGGTCAGGGTGCATCGGGTCGCGGTCTGACCCATTCTCTTTGGTCCTGGCCCAGAGAGCAGGTGCGGGGGGGCAGTGGTCATGGGACCAGGAGCCATGGACAGAGGTCCAAGCAGGAGGGGTGAGAGGGAGACAGAGGTGGTGGGCAGAGAGAGAGGGAGAGACAGAGACAGAGAGAGATTAGACCAGTCTGCTGGGGGCCCAGCCATGACACCCACCCTGATGTGGAGGCTCCGGGGTCCAGCGGTCAAGAAGCCTGAGCTTCTGTCAAGAAAATAGGGAGAGGGAAACACCCTCTCCTAGCAGCAGGACAAACACACATTTTTGTGACCCAGCAGTGAGGGCCAGCCAAGGAACCTGGGGACCTCAGGCTCCTGGACACTCAGAGAGTCCACATCTAGCACAAAGGGAATAGCCACAGAATTTCCTCCAGACAGACCCCTTCCTGCTGCTTCCCTTGTCCTCCCTCAGGAGGCCTCACCACAGCCCAACAGGGCAGCCTCTTGGAGAGTCAGCCTGTGCAATGGCCTTGCAGGTAAGGCTGAGCTCTACCAGCCTGCTCACGAGCTGCAGGCGATAGTATTGACCTGAATTCTCTCAGCCCTAAAACCAGGGTGCCAGCTGAGCTGCGGGACCAGCCGCAGCTCTGGACCCGGTCCCTCCACTGTCTCCCTCCCCAGCCATAGAAAGCCCCTGAGGTACCTGTCAGGTGTCCTCCTCTTGCCGTTCTCATTGACTTCCAGCAGGAGCTCCGAGGAGTCAATGGGGGAAGAGGCACTGGCATCCAGCAGGAGCTGCTCGTGCTGGGCCAGGTACTGGGCAGGGGTCTGCTTGGCCAGGCGGGCGCAGTGCAGGAGTTCCCGCTGCAGCAAGGGCAGGTTTGCCTGTGGAGGAGAGAGAGCGGGGCTTCTACTCGCTGCTGACGGCGGTCAGAGCACGAGCGAGGGTGGACAGCCTCGCTCTGATGCCAGGCAGAGAGGCCGACGGCCAGCCTTGCTGTGTGACGTTGGGCAAGCCGCTTGACCTCTCTGGACCTCGAGTTCCTCCACTACAACCTGGGAATGAGGGCAAGAAGGCAGTCTAGGCAGGACGGCGCCCCCCTAGGGCACACAGCGATTTGGGGGTGCACTGGGACTCGAGTTCAGATCCCGGTCTCCCAGCCTGGGGTTCTTCCACCTTCATCAAGCTCCCTCCCATGGTGGCATCTGGGGAAAGCGAGGGGATCACGGTGAGGCTCCCTTGCCTGTGCCCCCATGGAAACTGTGTGGAGGAGGAAACCGAGGCTCCGAGAGACGAAGTGGGCAGCCCCGCACACAGCTAGCTGTAGATGGGGGAGCAGGAAGCAGGATGCCAGCGTGTCTGCACCAGACCCCCATGTGCGCTGGTGGGAAGCCCCTGCTCTCCCACTCCCTGGGAGTTCCCAGCCTGGCCTCGAATGAAGCGGAGAGTTTGGACTACGCACATTAGCATGCCCGCACCGCTCCGAGCAGTCGCACGTGTCACCGCCTGTGGCTGTACCACCACCCGTGGTCCTTGTAGCCATCGGGGATGGACACTGCAGCTTGGTTCCACGGGTATAGGTAAGGACACTAGGGCGCAGGGGGTGAAGCGCAATGGGGGGTGTGGGGCACAGGATTCCAATGCAGACCCTGCCTGTAACTACCCTGCGTAGCAGCTATGCCCTCCTGCCTGTGCCCTTGTCCTGGTTCCAGGGCCTCCCAGAAGGCACTGCTGGGTGGCAAGTGGGCTCCTCACGCGCCTTCCGGAGAGTCTTCCCAGAGCCGCTGCGGGGGGGTGGGGTGTTTGGGGGGCAAAAAGGGCAGGTTGGATGGGGGCCCAGCGGCAGGCCGCCTGGGAGAGCCAGAGTTCTAAGTATTTGTAAATAAATACAATTCCCCAACTTTCTCATGGCGTTTTCAAAGCTGCCACACAGCCCTCTCCCGCCTCTGCCTCCCCAGAACTCATTAGCGCATCCACCCGGGCCCGATCAAGCAGCCGATGCAGTTTTGTGCAGCAGCGCCGGCTGCCAGGCCTGTTTTTCTATTTGGATAGCTGAATGGGGGCCAGCCCGCCATCTGTCGAACACGTTAGGAGCATGAGCTGGGAAAGGAGGTCCCAGGAGGTCTGAAGACGCCAAACATCCTCCTCTCCTTCGCTGGCCCCTCCTCTCCTGTGCTGTCTCCCCTTGGCTGGCCCAGCAGGGCGGGGACAGCACAGGCACCGGCTGGTCGCTGTTAGGGCGGTAGAAACATCTGGATTCCTGGCCGGCTGGAGCCAGCTGGGAGCCGGGACCACGGGTGGAGGCTGGCCGGGTGGGGCAGCCTCTCCCAGCTTCTGGAAAGCCCCACTACTCAGCTATGCACAACGTTGGGCTCAGAAGAGGGTGCAGGGGACCCAGGGTCCTTGGCTGGGGGGAACAGGGACCCCAGCCCAGAAGAAATGGGTGGAGGCTGCGGAAAGCCATGTCTCACAAATTCCCCTGGGGCAGCAGTCTCCACTGTGTCCCCAAAGGCTCAGGGTGCCAGGGAGACCTCACCACTTCAGTGCTGAACAGACTAAACTGGTCTCAAAAGCTCTCTGGATCCCAATTCTGCCATCTGAATGAAGGTTCTGATGATGCAGAAAAGACCGGAACTACCCTCTTCACAGGTGGGAACTCTGGACAGAGGGAAATTGGTGTTTGCAACAACCACCGTGTTAGTTGAGCTGACGACTCCCATGTAACAAGGATTTATAATGTTTCTGCTGCTTCGTCAAGCACTTCATCTAATGCTCACACAGCCTGCGTGACTGTGGGCCCTGTGGCCAGCCCACTCTAGTCTGCTGTGTGATCTTGGACAAGTCACTTTAACTCCTCTGACTTCTGCCTCATCTGCTACTTGGACTGTGGAAAGCACCCACTCCTCCCGTCCTGGGTATAATGGGCTCCTGTGAGCTTTGTGGGAATTAACTCATCCGTTCCCACCCCCGTGAGGTGGGTTGTCACACCCCCAGTGATCAGGCAGAGGACTGAGGATGGAGTTTTGCAGAAACCCACAGTTGGAGCTGAGGTTTGAGCCAGACGGTGAGCCCAAACGCCCTCTCAGCCAAAGTTCCTGCCTCTCTGCAGTAAGACAGCTCCAAGCGCTGCCGTGCAAGTGCATTGCTGCTGCCCACACAGTGGGCCTGGTGCACTGGGAGTCCTTAGGGAGGCGCCAGCACTGCGCTAGCAAAGGTCACAGAGGAGGAACTGAGGTGGCCCAATGGGTTGAGCAAGGGGCACTTCTGCTGGGTTCCCCCACAGTGCTCTGCATTTTAAAGCAGCCAGGGCTTCTGCAAGGAGGTGGTGGGGCCGTTCCCCAGGCAGGACCATGGGGCCAGGCCTGAGCCTTGTCAACAAGCCCTGGAAACAGAACTGGCTGCACCCCAGGAGCTCCACGTCACTGAGAGGAATAGATTCTGTGACCTTGACAGTCCCATCAGCCCGGGGCCCTGGGTGGGATCCCAGGTTCCAGGCATGGCGGGCAGGCCCCTCACCCTCTTCCCTTTGCCCTATTGGGAGAACAATTTAGGCATGAAAGCCCAAATAGCATGTGACAGCCACTATGGGCAGAGGGGAGACAGAGGCAGAGAGGTACCTGGGCAGGCAGTGCTAGGCTGGGCATGTCCTGTCTGGTGCCTCATTGGGGCGTGTCTGGGAGGATGCTGGGGTGTGACATGTAGCGGTCAGGGGGCTGCAGGCCTGGCCGGGGCGAGCAGGGGACTCAGATGTTGGCCCTGCCTCTGCTCCTCGGATAAACAAGGGCAGCTGACGCGGGCGGGCGGGACATCTGCTGTAAATATTTGATCCGACAGAATAAGCAGGCGCACTGTGTCCCCAAAGATGAGGAGCGGTGGAGTCAGCAGTAAGTTGAAAAGAGGAGAGAGAAGGGAAGGGTTCCTAATGAATTGCAAATGACTGCCAGATGGGCCCAAACCCTGCTCCATGCCAGCAGCCTCTTTGTCGCCACCTCAGGAGTGTGAGCACAGTGGGGTGTGGGCAGGAGGGCAGGAAGGAGGGAGGGAGGGAGCAGATGTGGGGGCACGACGACGTGGGGTCCCCTTGGTGAGAGACTGCAGGGAACACGGTGCTGGTCTGTGGCATGTCCTGCAAAGGCCGGGGGGCAGTGGTGCGGGGTGGTGGCTGGAGGCTGATAAATCCAGGTTCCGGCCTCAGCTCCTTCTCGCCACGAGTGAAGGAGACCTCAAGACCTCAGTTTCCCTGCCTGTTAATCGGGAATGGTGCCTGTGCTGCCCCACTCACAGACAGGGCTGCCGGGGGTCAGCAGGGGCAGCTTTAAAAGAGCTTTGCTGAGCATGCCTCGTCTGCAGAACATTTTTAATTCCCCAGATGATGATAACCATCATGAATTGAGCATGTGCCCAATTCTTCATGTGCATCTTTCCCAACAGCCTCAAAAACGATTCCTGCTTTACAGTTGCAGAAACTTAAGTACAGAGGGGTGAACCAGCCTGACCCAGGCCAACAGGGGTTCAGTGGCAGGGGCAGGGCTCAAACCTGGGAACATCTGGTCTGGTCTGTCCTCGAGACCTCCTGGAAGGCAGGCCTACCAGGGTCTGGCCATGCAGTGAACAGGCCCATGTTAGAAGCATCTCGCAGGCTCAGGAACCAGGAGCCCCTGGGGGAGGCCACTGGCACTCAGTGTGGACATCCCGGGTGAAACCCCTGACACTGACCTCGGGAGGTACACAGCAGCAAAAGGTCATGGGGTCAAACACACTTGGCAAGCATTTCATCTCGGCCCTTCTGAGATGTGTGTGACCCTCGTTTGGGGGAGTGAAGACCCTGAAAAGCACCACAGTGAAGATGCTGGTCTAACATGGTCTAGACCTGTGCTTGTCCTTGTGGAAATACAGGTTCTGATTCAGTGGATCTGGGCCAAGCCCAGGAACCTGCATTGCTCACAAGCCCCTGGTGCTGCTGCTACCCAATACCAGCTATTCCCACTGAGAGGCCCTGATGAATTGTTTATCTTCCGTGTTTGGCCGCACGACCTTCTTTTCATCTGATAGCCATTCATCTAGCCATGTTTTCACCCACACAACCATGCACCGTCTGTCTGTCCACCCATCTGTCCCTCCATCTGCCCACTGTCCCTCTCCCCGTCACTCTGTTCCAGCCACACAACCCCCTTGCTGTCCCTCGAACACAGAGGGCACCCCCTGCCTCAGGGCCTTTGCACATGCCTGGAAGGAAGGCTTTGTGCCCTGCTATCCACCCGGCTCTCTCCCTCCCCTCCTTGTGGTTGGGCGCACATCACAGAACTTATAGCCATTTCTGGTTAGCTGCCTCCCCTCCCACCAGGCCATTGGCCTCCCACTGTGCCTGCTTTGCCCAAGCCTCGCACAGTACCTGCCACATGGTAGGTGTTCAAAAAAATAGCTGTTCAGGGGACGAATGCCTTTGGCCAATAATAACAGGACTGATTGGGGAGTTCTGTCTTACAGCACTGGGTTTGGTGGCAGACTAATCCAGTCTGGCAACTAGTTTGCAGCCTTAACTAGTAGGAATCGATCATACTGGTCAGAGCTGTTCCCCTGGGGTCCCGGGTGGGCTGAGCATGATGCCTGGTCAGAGCTGGCAGGGAACGGACTTGGGGCTCCTGGGGGAGGCCCCAGTTTGAGGGAGCAGGCTTTGCTGTTACCTTCAGGAAGGGGATGACAAATGGGCGTAGCGGGAAGTTGGTGGCCTCCTGGAGCTTGGAATGGAACTCCTCGATGGTCAGCGTGGAGTTCTGAGGAGAGAAAACCACCATGCATCAGACCAAGCCACGTCCATCCAGCCTAGGGAGGGCAGGAGGCCCGAGGGCTAGGCATGGCCCAGGGTCACCGCGTCCTCGCTCAGCAGACACATGGCCTCCGTGGCTGTGCTGCCTGGACTCACCACAAGCCCCAGCACCAGCGTGCGCACGCGCTCCCCAATCTCTGGGGAGATGTCGCTGCCGAACTGCTGCAGGGTGGTGAGGAAACGCTTGAGTTTGCTGAGCTGCCGAGCCCCGCAGGCCGGGGGCAGGTGCTGTGTGGACAGTGAAGCTGTGGACGAGGTGGCCGGGCCATTGCTGAAGCCATTGGGTGTGGATGGGGTGCCGTTGATGGCCGTTGGTGAGTGGCTGCTGCCGTTCATCACTGTTGGGGTGGGGGAAAAGAGGGTGTGAGGAGCACAGCGGAGAACTGCAGCTCCCCTCCCCCCCAGCTAGAGCCACAGAGATGCCACACAGGTACTGACACCCTTTGCAGGTGTGCAAACTGGGGCCTGGAAAGGTGTGGCCTTGCCCCAGGGTCTCAGCAGGTGGGGGGCTTCGTGGTCAGGCCCTCCACACTCTAGAAGGATGCCAGGGCCCTCATACCATCTGGAAGATGCCCACCTCCCAGCCAGGTTGCTTAGTGTCCACTGTAATCAGGCAGACGGACTTCTCCACTATTAGGGATCTGCAGAACCACGTCCCCTCTTGTTGGGAGAGGTCATTCTTCTACCCTAAGAGGCTGGTGACCCCACCTTCACCACGACAGCCCCGAAAGGTACCCACTCCCTCATGGGCACCGTTGCCTGCACAAGGGCCCCAATGCCCGGGCCGACAGGACTGGGGTGGGGCAGGGGGACCCGGATACCCTGGGACAAGTGGGGATGGATGCTGGAGTGGGGGGCACTAGGCTGAGTGCTGTCTGTGGCTGCTACACACACGGATATGTGTGCGCATGGGCCCCAGGCTGCGTGGAGGACAAGCAAGTGACCTAAGGGACATGCGATGAACACAACATAGGGGCTCCGGGAGCAGCATCCCAGGGCTAGAAGATGCTCCTCCTCCAGCTTCAGGTGACAGAGCCTTCACACTGGAGGCTGGGGGCGCCCTCCATGCCGGGCTACCTGCTTCTGGTCCCCTGGCCTCAGAAACCTGACAGGTGATCATAAGGGCCTTCAGAGAGGTCAGAGGTCACAGGTTCCTAGGGCCTTTGGTGACAGTGGAGGGGCTCCAGGTGCAGGCGGTGGTGGCAGCATGCCTCTGGGAGGCCTGAGGCTCAACTGCCAAACCTGGTGGCCACTCACATCTCACATCCTTGGCCACCGCACAGGTACCTGCTCCAGGTAGCTCGCTCACGTTCTCACACTCAGCCCCTTTCATGCTCACCTGCCTGCTCCCTCATTCTGCACGTGTAGGCACTCCCCGCATGGGCGCTGGAAGAGGCATCCTGCCTGAGGCCCCACGCCCGCCTACACTAGCTCAGACAGGCTGTGTGTGTATGAGACTCGGGGTCTGGCCTCAGTTTCTTCATTGAAAATGGCCGTTGGCCCAAACCAGAGGTGGGGCTTCTCCACTCCACAAATGTCTGGCCCCTCTGCTCAAGGTTTCCCGGGCTTGTGGAACCCATGTTGTTCTTCCACCACTGGAAGGAGCTCGAAATGCTTGACCCTGGTTGCTTTTACATGTGGGTGATCACTCATCAATAATTGGCCCCCGCTTAGCAGAAGTTTGAGGATCATCGATTGAAGGCCAGGGCTGACACAAAAACAGATGTGCTGCCTTCCTCCGGAGAAGGGACAGGCGCAGGAATGGAGCCCAGTGCCCTGCTCCTGGGGCCCGAGTCCTTCTCAGCATGGCTTTCCCTCCCCCAGTGATGGAGGCACAATGCAAGTTGAAACCCGTTTGCCCCCCTGGTCTCGAAGATCTTAGAAATGCTTCCTGGGCTGCAGAAGTGACACACCAGCTCTGGAATAGTCCCACAAGAGAGGTGTGCCTCGTTTGGGCCTTCCTTCTCACTCTGGGATGGAGAGGGAACGCCAGACACAGGACAGGAGGAGGCCTTGTCCCTCACCCTGTCTGAAGCATTGTCCAGAGGACCGTTATAGAGACCAGAAGACCCTGCTGTTGTGCTAATTTTCTGTCTCACCAGAGCTACTGCCAACCCCGCGGCGAACGCTGACACACACACACACCCTGGTCAAGACTGATGACAGCCACTGACGGTTACTCCAGCTGGGCCATGAGATGGCCTGCTGCCACGAGAGACCTCACCACAGTAGGGGGCTCACTCCTCAAGGTGGAGCCGGGCTATCACCTGGGGTCTGTACCTTCCAGAGGTTTCTTAGACGTGCGTCTGTCCAAGCTGTCTGGGCGCCCCCCCCTCCCCCACCGGCCCCTGGCCTGGCCTAGGCCTGGCCTTCCTGCAGCTCCCTTACCAGCCTGCCCTCGGTGCCTGGGTCCTCCCGGACGCCTGGTTGCCCTCGCTGGCCCGTGTTCCCTCCCGCAGGCTGCTGGGCAGTCTCAGCAGCTTGCTAAAGAGACGCCGAAAATAACCCCCTGCCACAAGTGCTTTCATTCCACAACAGGTGTGTTACTAAGTTAGACCACACACGTGTCCCCAGCTGAGGTTTGGGGGCACACGCTAGCACCCCCACGGCTCTCCCAGTCCTGAGCCTGGGCGAGGGTCAGGCTGAGATGAGGCACCAACAAACAACACCCCCCCACACACACACACACCCACACTCCTGCCACTAGCCCCTCTCCCCGCTGCAGGGGTGGCCCAGGAGCTGGGAATCACACAAGCCTCATCGCGTTGCAGCTCAGCAGATGAGCCCGACACAAGAGCGAGGCCAGGCATCACAGAACGGCGAGAAGGACCACAGCATCACAGGACATGAATAATGCACAATCGTTATGTCACCTCCTCTCAGAGCCCAGAGCTACACGGCGGCCATGCCTGGGCTGCACAGCGCAACTGGCTTGTTGTGGGGGCCTGTCCTGACACTGGCTGACAAACACTCTGAACATCACCCCGTAAAAACTTCCTGTTATGGACACTGGCTGCAGCCCGATCACTTTGATGGAAATGCCCACTAGTGACTAATGTCCACCGAGCACCCAGTGTGGGCTAGGCCTCACGCCGACTCGACCAGCAACATCTTACGGTCCCTTCTAATCGCCCTGGCACCAGATGCCGTAATGACTTCCAGGTGGTGAAACTGAGGAACAGGTGGTACCTGCTCAAGGTCACCCCACTGGGAAGAGGAGGAACTGGAACTTGACCTAGGCTGGGGTTTACCCTTCAGATGCCAAACTATGGACTTGCATTGACAATCTATCTTCTTTCAACTCTAGGATCTGCCATATTTGCCCTGTCTTTTGTGGATTGGGAAAAAGGAGCACAGAGAGGGTGTCCACCTCCCTAAGATCACACAGCTTATGAGCAGCAGGGCTGGGGTGTGAACATGAGCCTGAGACTTGGGAACCTCAACTCTGCTCTCCTAAGCCTGCCCCTCGGACCCCTCTCCTCTCTATGGGAGGCCGGCCTCACTGACATGGCAGATGCAATAGTGGGTTGTGTAGTCAGTGGGGTCATTGCCAGGGCAGAGTGTGCAGACGAAGACCTCCTGGGAGGCCCGTGGTTTTTGTTATTTTACTTACAAAGACAGACCATAGACCATTTTAAGCAGCCATGAAAACGGCCATGGGGCAGAGACATCGCAGGCCCATCCTCTCGATCTGTAAGCAAAATAAGAAAAACATGCTGTCAGGAAAGGGGCCGCGGGCAGGTGGCTCTGCCCTGTGGGATGTCTATAATTGACCCCTCCCCTCTCTGCCTCTTGACAGCAGTTTTGGGGTTCAGGACCGTTACCACCTTTGGTCAGTCATTCTCTTCTTTGGGCTTCAGTTTCTTCTGTAAAATGATGGGGCTGGGTTGTGGGGGGATCTCTTAGGACCATTTCTGGCAGGACTTTCTGGGGGCCTACAAGAATTCTGCCATCTTCATCGGCATGGGTGGGACGCCCTGGTTCTTAAAAAGTTCTCTTCCTGGAAGGTGCCTTGTGACCCCACTCAGCACCATCCTCAAGGGACCTGGAGCCCAAGCTGAGTTGCGATTCAGGGCTTGGTGTCTCTATCGACAGACAACCCAATGGTGGTTCCAAAACGAAGCCCAGGACTGAGTTGCCGTGAGTGGAGAAAGCACCAAACAGGAAGAGAGATTTGATTTGTCTGAGCTGGAGTTAAGTGGGTAGAAGCCACAAGGAGACAGGCTGGATGGCTGTAATCAGAGAGTGACCCCCCCATCACGGGGGGTAATCAAGGGCAGGATAGAGCATTAGCTCTTTGAGGGTCTTCCCAGCTGCAGAGTAGCTCCTTACGTTCCTCCCCACAGTTCTCTCAGCCCCCATGCCGACCTCCCTGGCCACACCTCAGCTTCAATTCCAAAATGAATTTGTGCCCAGGGGAGTCACTGGGCAAAACAAAACAAAACAAAACAAAAAAAACCCCACAGCCCTCAAGCCATGGGTCAAGGTCAGCCTCTGGTCAGCTTGGCTCACAGACTGGTCCTGGGGAAACCAGGGAAGCTCTTGGCAGGAATCCGTGGCTGAGCGCAGAGGCTCCAACGATTTGGGCTGCCACCAGCCAGGTGCACAGACGTGGTTCACTACCCTGCTTTCAGGGAATTCATCGGGTTAGGGAACAAATCCGAGGTCACCTTGGAGGTGGCCTGACACTCGAATGGCCCCAGCATCCTGATAGAACTAAAGCATTAGCTTACAAAAGAAAGAACGACTTGTCTCTTATGATCTCTGTGCTCGAAACAGAGCCAGGACCTTGAATCTAGGAGCATAAGCCTGAGCTGGGTAGGGGCACGTGGGGCCTGGAAAGACACAAGGGGGAGGACCCCTGAGCCACACACAGGCCTGCTGCCCACATGCACATCTGTTCACAGGCCTCACGAAAGCATATGTGGGCAGTCTCAGCTGACCCAGCCCCGTCCCCAACCTAGAACATCTGGCTCCCAGGCCAGTACTTTCTGGATCATGGGCTCCTGAACCAAGACGAAAAGTAGGCTGAGGGAGACGTGTCCATGAGGGTCGGGGACCTGGCTCAGAGCCCTCGGCCAGATCATCAAGGGTCTACTGGTTTCTCTTGCTTGGAACCAAACACTGGAGGTGGGTTGTTGCTTTAGGTGGAGGCCCACGGCCTTGTTTCTTGGGAGCTGCTGCCGTCCTGTCATGAGTAATTCTTTTTCTCCCCGGCTGAGGTATAGGCGGGTGAAGTTAAACACAGCCCAAGCCTCCCCACTCTGCCTACGGGGCCCAGATGAGGCAGCAACTGTTTAGTGGACGAAGACTCTGCCTGTATTTCAGTCAGAGGTGAGGACTGAGTCTTTCAGAGGAGAGGAAGGGGTGACCTGATGGTCACAGTGGCCATATGAGAATGGTGTGTGGGAGAAAGCCCAGCCAGCCTCTGGCCACTTCTACTATGGCTGACACAGGCAGACCAGGACCTGCAGGCTGAGGACTGTGGAGTGAGCACCCTGCTGCCTTGGGCCCGATCCTGGTGCAGAAGGCAGGGTTAGGGGGCCTGGTCCAGTCTGTTACACATGGGGACCCTGGCTTAGACCCAGTACGAAGGGGGAGCTGGAACCTTCTGTCCAGGCGAAGGTGCAGGGAGGGGTATTTGGTCACTAAGCTCCTACTGTGTGCTGGGACATCCCTGCTTTCAGGTGGCCACACCTGGGAGCAGGTGGTATCACCCTGTTCATCAAACTGAAGCTTGGAGGGGTCAGAAGGCTGGCTTGAAGGCAGTATCCCACAAACAAGGGGCTGAGCCAGACCCCAGAGCCAATGCCTTTTTCTAGAGGGAGGGTGGGTCATGATGAACCTGGGGCCGACTTTGGGTAGCAGAACCAGCGCCCTGCATGTCCAGGGATAAAGGGAGCCAAGCTGTGTCCTGTGGTCCACTCCAGGCTCTGGGCAGAGCTGTGGGCCCTGGCTGGAGGCAGCAGCTTTTACTTGTCAGCTTAGCGGGGACCAGGGGCCACCAGCTGAGGAGTTTCAGGGTCCTGCCACGCAGAGGGATTTCACTTGGGTTTCAAAGCCTACAGAAGGGTCCCTGAGTGTGGAGCTTCTGGCCTCTGAACACAGGGGTTGGACGGCATGTGCGTTCTCTCTACCACCCACCAGAAACCCTTAGGATGCACTGCTAAGCCCTGGGCCTTGGAGGTCAGGGCACACTGTCCCCTACACCAGCCCAAGCCTGAGGATTTCCTTCCCAACTGCTCAGGATCCAAAGTCACTGAGTCCCCAACTTCTCCAACTCAAAGGAACAGGGCTCTAGTGATGATTGTGGACTTTAGAGGCTTACCCAGAGAAGCTGTGAATTCTGAGTCACTCAACCTGGATCTGCCCAGGAATGGTGAGACACTGCCTGAAGGTCCGGTCTGCCCACCATGTCACCAGCAGCTGAGGCCCTGCTGACTCCAGTTCCTGGCTGACCCTAAAACCCCGAGGAGGCCTGGCTATAGAGCCCCTGGTATCTGAGCCGGTGTGGAGCTCCACCAAGGCCAGAGCCACCTCCAATGGGCACTCCAGCAGGGCACAGCCCTAAGTGAATTCACCTGCACTATAGTAACCTGCTGTGTGACTGTGGGAAAGTTCCTGTCCCTCTCTGAGCTCCAAATGTAACAGCTATCTTTGATGGAACACTCACAATGTGCCAGCCAAGATAAGAACTTCTATTAACTCAATTGTCTTCATAGCAGCTCTGCGAGACAGGGACAATGGCCAGCCCTGCATTATAGATGAGGAATACCAGGCCCAGTGAGGTTGGGTAACGTGCCCAAGGCCACACAGCTACAAAGCAGAAGAGCTGGGATTTGAACCTCAAAGCTTGGGCTCTGAGGCATGATGAAATCCTCCCTTTCCAGGGCCCAACGGTGAGTGTTTGAGGGTTCAGGGCGGAGGGTCCACAGCACTGGTTTGAGTCACATGAAATGAGATCTGGAGCCTTAGACAACTTGAGGGGCCACAGAGGCACCTCTCAGCTACGCCCCACTCAGCGCCCGGCCCTGGGGTTACTCACTTGTGTGGGGTGTGAAGGAGGGGTGCCGCGTGGTGCCCTGGGATGCAGTGGGCGGAGGGGGCGGCATGCTGGGGGGCGTGGACTGGGGCTGTGTCTTCACCTCAGCGGGGGAGTCGGGCATCGCTGCGGCCGTCTTCTCCTTCCTGTCCGCTGCTGCAGCCCGGGGGAAGGAAGAAAATGAGAGCCAGTGAGGCAAGTGGAGAGGGGAGGGGGCCAGTACCGCCCCAGTCCCACCTGGTGCCCAGACAAGGCCCCACGCCAGCAGCTGTGTTTGGGCCTGTGCTGCTGGAGGCCCAGGTGGTGGACACCCAGCTGGACCCCAGGTGGCTCCTGGCTCTGCCCACAAAAGCAGGCCCAGTGCCAGGGCCCGGTTCATCTCAGATAAGCCCCAGGTGTGTTCACAGATGGCTGACATCCCACCCACCTGGGGCCAGAGGGTAGACTTGGGTCAGCCCATTTCAGTCGGGCTGAAGGGTATGGCTACAGGAGCCCTGAGCTGGCCAGAATGGGATTGGGGTCCTCACTGGGGGGTTGGTCCTGGTCCTGTAGACCAGGGAGTTGGAAGCACCCCCTGAGGCAGTCTCCACCAGCACCTCCTGAAGGGCCCTGTTCAGACATACATGCCGGCCTGCCCACCCCATTTCTGGTTCAGCGGGTCTGAAGCGGGTCCGAGAATCTGCATTTCCATCAGGGTCCCAGGTGAGGCTGCTGCAGCAGGTTGGGGCCCCAATAAGGCTGGTCCGGGGGGTATCCCAGGAGAGACTAGGTGGCAGGAACCTCTATTTTAACCATCTCCTAGCCCCAGGCGATTCCTGGGAGCAGCCAGGCTGAGGATATGGTCGATTTCAGGCTGTTCCGGCCTGGCCACTCAAAGTATGGTCTGTAGACCAGCGGGTTGTCTCCCTGGACACTGTGTCAAGAGTACCAAGTGGTCTGATGCTCTGCTAAGGGTCAGATGTGTGGAAAGAGGGTGGCAGTGGCAAAACCAAGCCTAGGCCTGAGCCCCTGGCCCCACAAAGCAGGACCCCGAAGAAAAGGCCTCTGGGTGGATCTGACCAGTTGCACACATCTCGAGCCAGCAGCTGCCTGGGCATTCTTTGCAGGTGGAGGGGGGCAAATCCTGGGCCTTCTCTTGCATCTTAACACAGGGTCCACCACTGACCTGGCAAGCCACAAAGATCTGGGCGCAGTGGCTGGAATTCTGGGCGGCCCAGCTGCTTGGGGCCATCGAGGTGGGCGTCCTCTACCTGTTACACATAGAGCTGCAGCCACCACTGCCCCAGCCACTGCCCTGAGCTCGTCCTGCTAAAGCTGATGGGGTCTCATCTAGTGCCAGGAGGAAAGCGGGTGAAGCCACTGTCAGGGCTCAACAACCCTTAGCTGTCACTATGTGACTATAGTTCTTGTCCCTTCTGCTCCCCCTCCCCCCATCCTCCCCTCCTGGGGGCCCCCCGCATGATCAGGGCAGACAGAGACACACATGTGTACCCAGGGTGGCCCGCCTCTGGGGATGGCGATTAATAATGGTAATAAATGGCATTTACCGTAATCTTGTGCCCAATACTATGTAAACCTCCTTTCAGTTCCCCTTCACAGAGTGGAGATGCCCACCCAACTGCAGCACCGGGATGGGACTCTCACAGCCCTCCACACTCCAGGGCCCCGTGGGGTGAGAGCAAAGCCCCCTCCTCGCTGGGCCCCATGGAGGGGAAGCAGCCGGAATCAGCAGCCACCCGGCCTCGCAGCACCTGCTGTCCACTCAGCTGTAGCCGCTGGCCTCCCTCCCGCTGGGTGCCCTGCCCCCTGCAGCCCGCCTGTCAGGAGGCGGCTGATGGTTGGGCACACGTGCACTGCAGCTGTGGGGCCCATCAACACTCAGCCTGGCTGCAGGGCCAGCGGTCAGTCCCCGGTGACAACCAAAGAAGGCAAGTGCGGCCGGTCACTGCGGGCCCCAGGCCACCCCTGTGGGTGCAGTCCGTCCTGGCCAGCCCTTCATCTGACCAGGCCACCCCAGGGCAGGCAGTCCCACTGGCATGCCTGGGAGGGCATTTCAGATGCCACGCTGGGCCATGGGACTCGGGGCCTGTTCCGACTTTCCAAAGCCCTTCCACACTGGGGGTTGGCAGGACCCTCAGAGATTGAACAGACCAGAAAAGCAGAAAAATGAAAACCCCTGCCAGGGTCACCCCAGTGGACCAGTACCCCTCACATGGTCCTTGTTGAACAAGAACCTCCCCATTGGGGAGGCAGAAAAAGGGGCCAGGCGGGGCCCACTCAGTGCATCACACATCTCCACAGGCCTTGAGGGACCGGTTCTGGACATACTCATTCCACAATGCCTGCTGGGTAGACCCTGAGGATGGAGCAGGCAGAGCTCTGTTGGTGCCCGGCGACCTCCTTTGGCAGAAAAGGAATGGCAGGCAGGCCCGAAGCCATCCGTTTACTTAGGAGAGGAGGCAGACTCATTGTATGCAGGCCCTGCTCTCGGCACTGGACAGTCATGGCTCCTTTTATTCTCACCAAAGCCCTGTTTTACAGGCACAGAGAAGTGTAGGAATCAGCCCAAGGGAATGCAGCAAGTATGGGTGGGTCTCTGTAGGGTCACATGGGTACATGGGTCTGTAAGGTTTCAAAGCCCTTGGCTGTCATCAACAGGCACCCTTCTTCTAGAAGAGGCATCAGGTCTGAGATTCAAACCCAGGTTGACTGAGGCTGCAGGGGAAGGGGGTTCTTCCGTTATCCCACCACCCACCTGGGTCATGGTCCCAGGGGCTACACATGGGGGGAATCACAGGTGCACCATATGGGACTTCATAAGTCTTTCTTGAATCTTGAGTCCCGGCTCTATTGCCTCCTGGCTGTGTGACCTAGGGCAAGTCACCTCACCTCTCTGAGCCACTTTACTCCTCTGTAAATGAGGCAAGGAGGACCACCTTCTATCAGGCAGTCAGGAGATGAGATGAGATCAGGCGAAGGGTCTGCACACGCGAGCACTCAGTGAAATTTAGCGAAGGTTTATTGAGAAACTCGTGTGCCAGAAAGCAGAAAATGACAAGTGCTCTCAGGGAAGGGCCAAGGTGGTGTAGAGATGGCGAAGAACGGCATTTGTGGTCACGGAACAGAGAGCGCCAAGGCCAGAGCGTTCAGGGCCTCTAGTTGTGCAGGAAAAATGAACGTCAGCTGGGGCTGGGCTGGCTAGTGTGGACTGGCTGCACGGCAGTGGGGAGCCACTGAAGGCTCTGCACAGCAGCTGGAGCGGGTCTTGGGCATCACATTGTCTCTCCTGCCTAAATCTCTTCCGCAGCTTCCATGGACATGGGATGGGGCTTCACCAGGCCTTACCAGGCTTCTGTGGCCTGAGGGCAAAGTGCAGGTGCCTCTCCCGGCTCTTAGGAGCCACTAGATAGGGGCACCCCTGTTCTCCCTGTGCAGGCCTCCTGCCCTGCGCTCCCTTCAAGGCCTTTTACTGAGCCAAGGCTGCTCCTGGGCCTCCCAGACTCACTGGGAGGCTTAGACCCACGGAGGCTGTCACACGACCTCACTGCCCTGGGCAGCCAGCATAGGGCCGTCCAGGCAGGACCCTGTGCCCATAAGCCAGTGAGAGCAGGAGCTGGCCAGGGCATGTGGGGGGTGTGGTATGGAGGGGAACAGGGGAGGAGACTGACCGTTGGATGCTGGATGCCAGTGAGGGGAGATAGCTCCCACTTCCCCACCAAGGCTGCCGAGGGTGCCAGCACGAACCAGCTCAGCTGGCACAGATCACAGCAAGCCCAGACCACCACCACCAGGGAAACCTGGACTGGCCCCGTGAGACACTCCCCTCCCCATGCCTAGGTTCCCCCACCTCAGTGTCCACTCCCAGGTGTCCTCAAACCCATGTGGAGCTGGGCCCATGCCCTGCGTGTCCACATAGCACCTCGTTGAATCCTTACTCCCTCCCCAGAGCGCACCATCAGAGCCCACGTGTAAGCCCCCCAAGGTCACCTGCCTGTGAGAGGCAGACGAGGCCGGCCCTGCCCATCGAGACCTTGAGCTCGCACTGTCTCTCCTCTGTGCTCACCCAGGCCTCCGTTTCCCTGGCTTCAATTCTGGGGTCATCTTGGGGCTCTCAGCACCCACACACCCTCCACCCAATGGTGGGGGTCCCAGTGAACATACTCTCCCTTTAGGAGGCTCTGATTTGGCAGGTCTGGGGTGGGACATGCAGGCAGCTAGATGTATGTCTTTTAACTTGTAAGTTAATTTTTTTCTTTTAAGATTAACGTAGAACAGCTACCCTCCCGTGGGGCTCACCAGGTGCCCCATCACGCACCAGCTCCCCCATCCCTTAGGTCAGGAGACGTGAAGCAACCCCCATGACTGGTGTTTATTAGGAACCCCATATTCCAGCTGCTTCACAGCAGGAGGCCAGTCCTGTAATCACACCCGTTTTATAGCTGAAACAGGCTCAAAGACCGCAAGTGACTCGCTCAGGGTCCCAGAGCCAGAGGCACAGAGCCTGATGGGCAGTAGGGCCTGAGCCCAGGGCGTCCACAGACCCTCAACCTCCCTACGAGCCACAGTTGTCAGGCAGATTAGAAAGCTCTCTTGCCAGGCCAGCCGGGCTCAGATCCAGTACTGCCCAGGATGCCATGTGGGCTGACCTAAACCTGGAAGGGGCAGCTGCCCGGGGTTGGGAGTGGGAGGCCTGTCATTGCTCTGAGTCAGTGGGTGATGTCCTGGTGCCTCAACTCTGGGCAGGTGAGCATGAGGACCATCTTTCCCAAGTCCATGGGAAGATGGGCTGTGCTGATGCAGATCTAAGAGTGTTCTACGATCTCCAGATCTTAGAGCACCTGGGAAGAAGAAATGAGACCCGGCTACCTGTGTCCCCGTGCCTCTCCCAGCCCCGTTAGCAGCCAAAGGCTGAGTTAGTGTTGGCAGCAGTCCCAGGACCCTGACAACCACGGGCATCCTGGTTCTTTCTTTCCAAACAGGCCACCAGGCCCAGCTTTGCAAGTGCAGAAACCTGCCTTAGCGAAATGAGGGCCCAATCTCACAGGGGCTCAGAATCTGGAAAAGGGACACCCAACCCTTGTCACTTGATGCTGGGGGTCCCCTCAGCCCCTCCTGCAGCCCTGCACGGTGTCACAGCCAGACCAGTGGCTTCGTGC